CGGGATACATCAAGTATTAAACTTAACTTTGCGTTAGCAATACTTGTGAATCCGAGCGTTATGGGGGATGAGGGATATTGCTCTCCTTCGTGGCTTCGTCATAAATTCGCGATGTTCAGCCGAATTTCGAGTCAATTCGTGCGAATCGTGCGCGGATCGGCCCCTTTGCGATCTTTCCGGTCGGTTCCTCTTCCGTTTCTTCGCTTCGCCTTTTTTTTTTCGCGATGCCGGATACGTGGAGAGGGTTCGCGTTCGCACCCGAATAGAGTTGGACGCTGCTCTCCTGAATACACAATGCGATTTATTCGAAACGCGGCGTATAAAACACAAAGGACCGCGTATGATTGGTAAATTATTGAGGCGAACCGGATTTGTCGGCCAATCACGTAGCGCCCTTAAATAATTCAAGGGAGATACGAACAGGCGAATGCAAAAGGAGAGAAGGGAGAGGCTGTCGAGGCGGCGAAAGTCATTCCGCGTGTTGATTCTCGCGTCGCAACGTCGTCGAATCAATATTGCGCGTTCACGACGGAAACAAGAGCATAAACCTTTAAGAAAGCTGAAGAAAAAACGATAAATGGGGTGAGCCGGTTTTGGTTTAGTCTCACAGAGTGTTTACTGTCTGGGAAAATCGGGATTTTTCAGAGAATTTCTTTTTTTATTTTTGACAATCATGATATTTTAATAAAATATTATCGATTCTCAGGAATATTTTTTGGAATTTTACTTTTAATTTAAATTCTATTTCTCTTTAACTTAAATTTTGTTTCTATGAAAACGTTATTTCTTCATTTTTTTTTAATAATGCAAAATATATCCTTCTACTTTAAAAATAATACAACATAAAAACTTAAATTTTTCAGAAAAAATTATTTTTTAATTTAACAGAAAATTATTGACTAATCAAATAATACTGGCAAAAAGAATATCTTCTTGGAAACGTGATTAAATGTTATTTTTGTCATTTTCGTTTCACAAAAAATTATTAAACAATTACACTCTTAAAAAGTTATTTTTTGAGCTTTAATAGTTTTGATATCTTATAAAATTACAACAAATCCGGAATAATGCATCAAAAGTGACTAAAATGATTGAATTCCAAATAAAATAATTTTTTTTTGAAACTTCAAAAAAACTCAAGTTATCCTAACTCTAAATGTTTTCTGTAAAAAATTCCTTTTTATTTACAAAAGCGACACAATTTGAAATATATTACTCTTGTGGAAGGTATTGCTATGAAAAAAGATACAAGTGTTATTTAGCGGACGGATTCTGAAGTTAAATTAGTTTATTTTTGTTGATTGAATTGAATTGAGAATAATCTGACTCATCCATACTAGTAATTGAAAAATTACATTTTTTTAGTTGTCATTTTTTAAATAAAGATACAATATAATAATAATAATTATAACTTTATTAAATGTTGATTGATTAGCATTAAGTATAGCACATACATCCGTGTACATTCTCATGTGCGAGTCTTGCGAGATTTTTATTATTTAAAAAAATCAGAATAAGAAAGAAAGTCAGCAGAGGAAAAGTAGCTCATTGTTCATTGATACTGTATTGTAGAATAAATCTTTTCTGTACTATCCTATAATTTTTGCAGCTCCAATTGTAAAAAACAATAGATATAATGTCTCCTACTAATTTATAATATATAATTCGTCTACTTACATTTTAATTTATTTCAACGTTGCATTAAAAATTTTTTAATCTTACCTGGAACTTTGAACAAAAATAATCTGGAAAATTCGGGAATTTTCAGGAAATTTTTTACGAAGTTTCAGTAAACACCCTGGTAATGCTCCGTGATTTAAAATCATAACTGCAATGCTTTGCATAACATCGAAACAAATTTATTAATACCTCTATGATAGAACTATAAATACAAAACGTATCTACATACTAGCGAACGTTATACACTTCCTTAATTAGTGATTTTGAGTTCTTTCGTACATCGTGATCCAAGCGCGATCAATACTGGGATGCATAATGGCTCATAATTTACGCGGGAGATTTAGAAAGCGATACTGTAGGATACAATGTACAAAAGGGCTCCGATGCTCGCACTGGCTGTACCTTGTTCATTTGATAGTCGCAAGTGCGATACAAATGTGCCTTTCGCGATCGTAATCGTTTCGTCGAGGACCCTTTGCGTTTAGGAACTATGCTGATATTATTCTGGAATCGTCACGTATTTTGCGAGAGAATTATTTATTACAGTCATTGAAGTACGTTTAAATGTCGGAAGGAATCGCGTCTGGCTCACAATCAGTCGAACGACTTTTACGCGCTCAGTGAATGGAGACTCGTGGTTGTAGTATCAAAATATAAATTGCAAGTCGGTAATAGTTCTCTCTTGTCGTCTTAACAATTTGAGATGATTACTAAATCAATTTTGGCAGATTGAAATAAACGCATACTCGTATGGTGCTTTTATTTGCGAAGGAAAGTGCACTGAATCACTGATAAATTGGCACTCGTTATTATAATACATATAATATTATTTATAATAATTCAAAAGTTCCGGTCATATTTAATATATATATACACACACATATCTCTTAACGTATTTCGAAACGGAATTATGTAGAAAGTGTTACATATCAGTTATTTGCTATAACAACAATATAACTCAAAAGAAAATAAATCTTAATGTTTTAAATCATTAAACTTTTGTAATATTAATTTTGAAATGCAAATTTGGTATAATAATTGATTGTAAAATAATAAAAATATGTTCTTTTAAAGTATGTTCTTTCTTTTGTTCTTACATTTCTGTTCTTTTTCTGCAAGCAATTAAAAGAACGATAATTTTTTAGTTATGTCGTTGCTGTAACAAATAAGTATAAAAACAGTACGGAATCAAGCTATTTATATACTGCTACATTCTCATAAAATTGCGTATTATTAACATAAGAAAGTAATATAATTAAATATTTGTTAACATAATTTGTTAACAACAAACTCATAATCAACTCCGGTTAGTTTTGCGGAGCTACGGTTGCAATATTTACTTCTTAAACTCCTGCCATCAATAATTAACAATAATTAACAATAATTGCTGCCTTTTGCCAATTGCAAGCAACAAAGTTCTTATCTTACTTACGGCCGGAGTGAAAACCGCGAAGATATAAGCATTTCTTAAGGATTGGTTCTTAGCAGTTTCTCGGCGCAGCTGCTAGCTTATTATCGTTCGACATAGGTATTTTTGGCATCGACGATGAATCCCCAAAGAGGAAGGAAATAAAACATCCTTCTCGACTACGACTATTCTTCGTGATCCGATACGATCAGCACGAGCCAAACCGGAGCAAGAGAGATCAAGAGAGAACTTTGGGCATAACTCAGTCTCGTTATCTGACTCGCAAATAAGGCAGCGGAAAAGTTCGCGACATCAATCTGGCCCTCTGCCGGGAGATTCGAAGTTGAAACAATGCTTAAGTCACCCCTAACGTATGAGCCCCATGGGGTGGCGAGCTGGCGAGGTGGTTGCCACTGCTGGCTGCAGTACTGCGTCGCTTTCTTGAAGTCCGTCGATTCGATCTCGTTCTCGATGCCCGTCCAGCTGGATCAGGGCCCTCCGAGGATTATCCTGGTGTATCTCTTCCCCTCTCGGCGAACGTTAAATACGCGACACCGAACTTTATTTACTGTTTTCCGAAGTTTCGGGTTTCGGTTCATGACACGTCAGCTGTTGAAGGTATCTTGCACCGGAAGTCGATGCGTTTGCCGTAGGATTGAAAGCAGATAAATCCGGGAAGGATCGCGATGCATGGAAATGCTTTTCTAGCCCGTTTTCCATACATTTCATTTTTTTTTCGAACTTATCTTTTCCTTTAGCGATACGCTTTAGCGGTCTGAATTGAATCATGCAAATTCGATTAATTACAATCTAAACAGCACCAATAGTTCGCCACAATTGGCCGATATACGTTCCGTTAGCTATCTATCTACCTACGTATCTATTTAACTATCTACTTATTTATTTATCGTCTAGCCAGTCGAGCGCGGGGAAGACGAATTCGTTCGAATACATGAATCTAATGAAATACAAGAACGAAAGACGCATTTTGAATTTATATATTCTTCCCTCACGTTCTATCTTATATTGGAGAGAATCTATTCGAGAAGACGGCATAATAATTCGTCCAGGAAATACGAATTCGCCAAACGACGCCTAAGATAGCGTAGGAGAAATAACAGCGTTGAGACAATCTTGTCATTTATTGGGAAATTTCAAAGATGGAACATTACGATATTTCGCTACGTTGCGTTGATAGAAAAGTGACGCAAGTAAAAAAATTAGTTTCTGAGATAATGAAAAGAAATCAATCTTAAAGACGAACTTAAAGACAAATCTTAAACACAAAAATTTTGTGGAAAAATTACACATTTATCGACACATTCTATGAAAAAGTATCACAACTTTGATGAAGGATGACACAATCCTATGTTACACTGATTATAAGAATTTTTGATATTTGTAACTATAATTGTTACTGTAATTATTATTTGTTATAATGTTAGTAATAATAATTATATATATTCTATCAAGAAATATATATTTACTCTCTAATTTTCAGAGTGAATCTCACTCTGACATGAAGAGTGAAATCTCACTCTTAAAGATTGAAAATTAAGCCACTTTTTTCAAAGGTAGGCTCAATTTTCCCTCTAGACTCCTTAAAGTAAGATTTACTCTAAAGAATTTAGAAAGTACGTAGTTGACATCGAAATGATTATAAATCATAATTATTATTACTGTAAAAATGATTGCAATTATAAGTTAATTATAATTTATAGTAACTAACTATTTTTGTACTTATTATCAGTGTAGGATTGCAGTGTTTTAAAAACTCATTAGTTTTCATGTAATTGAAAGTATAACATGAAAGAAAATAATGCATATTAACTATCTTAATTAATGATTGATCTTAATTCTGAAAAGAGCTGCTAATTTTGAGATGTCACTTTTTTTTATTAATGCAGCGATATTTGTTAATCATTTTATATTTTATCAGATATTTAAATTCTCCTACGCCGCTTACTTGCGTTGTTTGCAACACTCTATCATACTTTTTATAGTTACCTTCTATTTACACAAAGTTCGCCCGATCGGTCTCCGATCGCGACATGAAGCGAATCGTTTAATGCGATTATATCATACATATCTATACGCGGTAACATTTTTCTTGTTCGCGATAACTTAACAGTATCATTTTCTTCTCGACAGTTAAGGGATATTCGATTATACGCAATCTGTCGTGGGTCGCGTGCTAAAGTTAGGACGATAGTTCGGACGATCAGCACGGTAAACCACGAAGACAATGAGAACGGTACACGAGTCGACCTCCCCTCGGGCGACTCAATCGATATATCGGCGCTTACTTCGTTTGTCATTTGGCATCGTACGATGCTTGCGCATTGATACCGTTTAAATTATTCATGGGGTTCAGGACGTTATGGGCGCTCGAGCTGGTTGGTGCTGGATATCCGTTGTGGTTATGGGCCGCCGCTTCCCCGTTCGCCTGTCGCTGAGCTCCACCCGCTACATTCTGCAAGATAAAAGAAGACGCGTGAGAATTACGGGCCGTTGCAGTACGCGTGTTCGGTGGTCGGTTTTTCTCTTTCAATTTGGCTCGATCGACGATCTCGACTTAGCGGAAAATTTATGTGTAACCGGGGGCATCACGTCCTTTGTAAAGAGTGCCGTGGAATAATACCATCGCGAACAGCGGATCGAAGCAGCACATTTGTATTTCTCTAGCGATTTGTACATATGTATTTGAAATATTTTCTATATATTACGTACACGCTTTCTTTTGTTTAAAGTTTTCTTGTCAACTTAGTTATAACAGGGTTGGCAAAATTCCACATTTGTTGGGTAAAGTCCATACCAGTAGTAAAAACCGATATTTTTTTTTGGAAAAAACCGGCAAAAACTGGTCTCTTTTTTTTACCAAAGCAATAAAATAAATAGAAAAATTTTTTACCAATATTCTAATTTAGAATTCTGTTATTATTCTAGTTCCTCATCAATTGAGAGTGTTTTTCAATTTAAGAGAGCTTTATCATAAATAAAATCTGAAAATTAGGAATTGACGTAACAAATAAATTAGTTTTTATAAGATATTGAATAGTAAACGCGAACTAGATCTATATTGGTTTAATAATTTTGAATTTTGTTACTATTATGTTCTTCTCGTAAAACTAAAAATCATAAAATTTTATAACATTTATATTATTTCCAAAGGTTTTGTTTTAAAAATATATTAATTTGAATTAAAGACTTTATTATAAGATGTTTTGTTATTATTGGCTGCATTCAGCAGAAAAGTAGCTTTGCAACTGTTGTAAAAATTCTTTAATATGATTAGTTTTTCCCTTAGTTCTTCACTAGATATAAATGTATAATAAATCAATTATATAAAAAGAATTTTACAACAGAGTTGTAAAGTTACTTTTTTTTGCTGAATACAGCCATGATTTATTCCATTCTTTAATCTATTATAATTAATAGTAATATATGATTTACTAATTGAAGCAAAAATATCTTTTTGCATAAAGTATACGAATATATTTTAATATTACATATTAATCATTTTTATAATTTTTGCCAATTTATTCCATTGAATAAAGTCCAGGACGGTAAAATCCGGAATTTATCTTGGTTTTTTCCACCCATTGGATTTTGCCGACCAACCCTGAGTTGTAATCTATGTGACTTATATCAATGCGTGTGATACCGTACCACTGAAGGTGAATCGCACGAACCACCTTAGTTAACAAATTCTGGTTAGTGACTCGTGTCCTTGTCTAGATTATAACTCTAACTGTAACATAGATTGAGAAAGAAGATTTAATAAACCATGATTATTGTTAAACAATATTGCTGCAAATATTGTCGCGACTATTGTCTGAAAAACGACGACGTAGATGATTTTCAATTTAGCGGATAATCTTCATCGGAAAATATGCGATTACAATAATAGTTTAAAAATATCTGGAACGGGACAGTTTTTTTTATTCAAAAAGCCGTCATGGACTTATTCGAGGCAATGCGCAAAATGAAAGTTTAAACAAAAATTAATACTGGAATATATAGTAAGTTTCATATATTCGCTCTTTTGAGAATTAATTATTAGGGAGCATTAATTATTAGAAATGTAACTCGTTAATTTAATCACGTCACTGATCCTGACACGTGATTATAAATAAAACATGCATCGTATCGTTTACCGAAATTGATTTTGATATTTTTGATATAACGATCATATAACATACATATTTAATCCAAATTGGATAAACTTTATAGATTCTACTAATTTCCTCCGAGTTGCATTTAACCGAGCAAGAAGCACATCTCGGTTAAGAATTAGGTTCAATTTATTCTCGAAACTCGTTTATCAAGCGCTTAAATGCATATTAGAATGCATAAGACGAATTTGTAATTCTGAAGAATATAATCCGATTAGAGAGCACCTTACAAAGTCCAGAAATAAATTCGGTCGATCAATCGACTCTGGCAGCGTCGTTATTCGATTTTAACAATTATTCACGACGCGGCACGTAAAATTCATTCGGGCGGGTTTTCCGCCCTTAAGGGGTTGACAATGCTAACGAATTCACGTTTCTCTCTCTCTTCTCTCATCCTCCTCTCTGTAACGTGCCGTCTAAGTCTCTACTTCAAAAACAAAAGGCCGGAGAAATGAATTTGTATCTTGGTGTCCGGGCAAAGAGGAGGGACGGCACGACTCAGCTTGGGCGGTTCCCTCTTTCTCGTGACCGATTCTTTATCCATCTTCGTCTCCATCCGGTGGCTATATCTGCACGCTGGTAGTACAAAGTATCCGTGGGAGAGGCAGAGAGTGTACTAGGCTAGGTAAGTGCCGTTGAAAACTTGAAACTTTGCATTTTCCTTCGCCTCATCTCCCTCTCTGATGAGATCATTCCATCTTCATCTTATCCTGTCGATCCTGCTTCTTCGTCGTCTTTCGATCTTCGTTGCCGTCTCGTCGTTTCTCGCGAACACGCGTGTCCCCCTGCCCCTTCTTCTCTCCGTCTTTCCCTTCAGTTTCTCTTAGTTTCTGCAGTAAAGGTGTTAAATTATACAGGCTTAAAATTCGGCAGACCGTACGGCTCAACCCCTCGTGACGGAATCCTCTCTTCCCCGCTACGATTTCGGCCCGTAAGTTGATCATACTAACTTTCGCACGGCGCCGAATTAAGCCTCCATTTTCGGCAATTATCCCGCGCCGCGGAACGCTTCGTTGCGACTCGATGAACGAAACGTTGTTGATCTTAATTATGATATTTTATTTTTGAATGCAATAATGTAGGTACAGATTGCAATTTATTGACCTTTTAAGAACGGGAGCTCCCTGGCAAAAAATTTAAAGAATATTTTGTTTTTTAAAGATTTTCGAAGTCGTAGAATTTTATTCTGGCTTCAGAATTTTTTAATTCAAATTTTAAATAAATAATCTGATTTTTTTTTGGTTTTGGGAGATTCTTGGCATTGCTGAGTTTGAAAAGGTAACTTTGTTAAGTTACTGTTAAATAATAAATTAAATTTCTTTGAGTCAAATTTAATATATTTTCTTAAGTTAAATTGTTTAACTCCATAATGTTTTAAAAAAAAAGAATAAAAAAATATATATAATCTTGTTTTAACAAAAATAAATTAACTAAATATAAATATCTATATCGGAACCAACATTAGTTGTTTGTGTGTAACGTCTTTATTACATAATAATAAAAAAACAATTAAATGTTTCGATTCTTTGCTTTTGAGTCAATAATTACAAAAAATGTGCTGATATACCATTGCCATAGAAATATAAGCTAAATATTGCACTTAATTAAAGAATAAATCTTGTGAGATATATAAGATATGTGCTAATATTCTTAAATTCTTCAAATATGAACCAGTAATGAAATCCTATTAAATTAAATTTTAAATTGAGTCCGCAGTCTTAAAGAGAATTCGCAGTTTCATTTACGATGTAGATAGTTTAACATTCGGATTGCGTATAAATTGTTTCTATTTAGATATATTAAATTAACGACATGTTGAGTAGGAATGAAATATAATGACCTATAGAAATAATTAAAAATAACTCGTATTTGATATTATGAATTTAACAATGAAGAAAGATCTAATGTCACAGGATAAATATTCACTGAGAGAAATGATTTTGTTATAGGACAAAAGGGAAAGCAAATGTGATATTTGTTACAAAAACGATCGATTTGTTACAATTGCAAAT